AGCGGCCAGAGCGCCGTGGGGATCTGGCCATGAGGCGGACCTGAGCTTCCCCACACTGACTTGTTCTGAGATTTGCCAACCACTTTGGTTCCTATTAAGTTCCTCCTTCCTCCCAGGGACCCCACCTGGGGGTTAGTGCTGTGTCATCACACCCCCAGGACCCATGTTTGGGGAGGGTGAGTAACTGTCTGAGGTCCCATGGCCGAGTTCGCAGGCTGCGGACCACGTGGCTCTCCCCCCCGGGTGACAGGGTCCAAACTTCCAAGCCACAGGCGTGGATGCGGGGTCTGGGTGCTGTCCTCTTGGCTCACTGCTCTACTCCGTCATGCAGCGGAGACATCTAGGCCCTCTGCACTGGCTTGTTTCCCGCCTCGGCACCCATCACTCGGCCCCCCTGAAGCTTGCACACACCTGCCAGTACTCCAGAGTGAACATACCAACTGGCAACCCTTCACCATGGGGGTAGGGAAGCAGGTGGATCAACACTCCCCTCCCCGAGCCCTCTGGTGGACAGTTCTGAGCTGCTCTGTGCCCGAAGGAATTGAGCCCTACTACCCACGGTGACCCCTCATCACACACCCTTGTATTTACTGGGTTTCCCGCCTTCTTTGCCTGGGAATCACTTGTCCAATTAAACCCGCTGCATGTAGGCCCTGGTCTCAGGCTCTGCCTTTAGCTAAGGCCCCAAACAGGGCTCTCCTGGGGCCCAGCACCAGGCGAGCTAATGATCTTCTCTCCTCCCACTTCTCTTTCCCCAGGACACCAGGGCTCTGCTCTGATCTATTGTTTGCTAGATTCAGGAGCCACCACATCTCCCCAGGGGGCCAAACCACTCTTGTTTATGCAACAACAATTAGTGCTCAGCAATCATCTCTAGTCTCAAGCCATGCAAACAAAAGGTGCCTTCAGCAAAGAGGTATCCTATCCCCCATCCTGGGTTAGGGGTCAGGACGCCCACCAAGCTTCTACCCAAGCCCAAGATTCTGTCTTCACTTTAGGACACACGTCCTAGGCAAGTCACCCACACAACCATTCATAGTCTTAGGTTGCGTGGGTGCATGCATATGCGTGTAACGTGTGTGTTTTAAGATAGACTTACTGTATCTTTGGGTTACGAAAGCAAATGCTTGCCAGTTCTCCAGATTACAGCAATGCAAAATGTAGAGCTTGGAAACTGAAGGCACCTCCTACCCTATTCTTGAGTAGGGTTATTTTTAATTTCCTTGGACCAGGACATTTTCAGCATCAATGAATGAGGTCTATTGGCTCCCTCATTGGCAGGAGGTGCCCTTATAAAGTGTCATTTCTTCTTAGGCAAATCATTCATTCAATGACTGTTTGGCTCCAGGTGCTAGAGAAGCTGCCAAGAGCCAGCCAGACAAGGAAGGTTCTCAGGCCTGACTGCCTGTCTCCCAATAGTTGTGTTTTCCCTGATCTCTGTAGGCAGGACCTTGAGCAGCTTACTTGCTCTGGAATATTCACTCAGTTGCCTCTGGCTCTTAGGGAGGCCTGTGGAGCTTCTCACAACCACAGGGAAGGGCTGCACCCATTACCCAGAATGCAGAGCAGGGGGCTCTCCTATTGCTTAGCCTTTGTCTGGAGGCTCCAGGCCTCTGAGGGTGCTCCTTTCAAGACCAGTCACGAAAGGCCCAGTTTCAGGTCGCCTCTGGTTGCCACCTGCGCGGAACCCAGGGTCTGTCTTGTTGGTGGCTCTGGTGCTCCGGCAGAGCCAGCAGGCATCCTGAGGGCAGGGGCTGGGGGGCTCCTCTGGCCTTCCCTGATGCCTGGCCCAGCTGTTGAAGAGGTGCCCACAGCAAAGAGAGGAGGATTGTGGAAGGTTAGGGAGTTGGACAGTGTAGGCCAGCGATTAGGGCAGGAGGTTTTTTTGGAGACCGGGGTTTCTTACGGGAGAGATCTGCGCGGAACCCTCTCCCTTCCCTAGATGGGTGTGGAACAGAGGCTGGGGCATAGCGGCAAAAGCCCAGCAAGGAACACTCACGGCCCAGGAGCTGGGCATGGTCTTGCCAAGTAGGAAGCCACACAGGAGAACTCCAAGCATAGCCACATGTACCAGGAAAGGGGGAGGGTGCAATGTGGGTGTCCTTTGTGCCACAGCAGACCCAAACAGTATTTTTTTTTATTATTTAAATTCAATTCAGTTAACATATACTGTATTATTAGTTTCAAGGGTAGAATTTAGTGATTTATCAGTTGCATACAACATCCAGTGCTCATTACATCAAATGCCTTCCTTAATGCCCATCATCCAGTTACCCCATCCCCCAACCCAGGCCCAAACAGTATTTATCAGCTCTTCCCCTTTTATTAACACATGTCCCTCTGTTAAACATAAAAATCATGCCTCCTTTAACAGCATGTAACAATTCAAAATAAAAAATGTTGGGACTCCAAACAAATGAAAACAATGGGAAAAGGTGCTGTTTTATTCGAATTATGCTCCTCCTAAGTCTGATGTGATGCCCCCCAACCTTGGTAATCAAAGCCCTGACAAATTTGGACTGAGGTTGGCAGCGTTTCAGAATTAGTATGAGGGACGGACAGAAACAACCAATTATAATAGGGTCAATTCCCTGATGAATCTATTTTTGAGGGATGGGAATTGACTGAGGCTCTGGAAAGGGCATTCATGGATGACTCTCAGGAGCTCGAGGAGTCATCTCCATCCAGGACCTGGATGGCTGAGTTTCTCTCCTTTCTAACCGGTTTCTTCTGCTCTCCCCAAGGGAGCCCATTCCCTAATGCTGCTGGCTCCTCAGCACCCCGCCCCCCCCACCGCCACCACTACACACATATGCGTTGTTCCCCTTTCCCTTTATCTAAATTCTTAAACCCTGTGGTTGATCTTGGCAAGGTGTTCCGTCAAAGCCAAGGAAAGGAATTTATACTAAGGTGTAAGAGACTAATAGGCTTAACCATTCACAGGAGCGTCTGAGTTTTTAAGGAGAGTTTGTAAATTCAAACCCATCTCAAACAGGTGGAATGTGCACGGAAGATCTCTTGCAATTCCACGTGCCAGGTGCCTACCGGGCCACTCCTACCCTCTTCCCTCTCGAACAGAGCTCAGCTGCGGGTCCCTCTGCGGAAGGCTCGGGCTGCCAGGGTGGGCGGGGACACTTAGGCCCAGCGCGTCCGGCGGGGCAGGCGTCCCCAAACCTCAGCCCTGGCCTCTCCTCTCCCGGCCCAGAAAGAAGCCGCAGCGAAGGAGGCGGCGGCGGGGGTGCCGCAAGCGCGCTTCACCTGCGGGAGGCGGGAGGGCCCGTCCCGGGCTCTCCTCCTCGGAGACCCGGCCTGCCGCGGGGCAGGCGTCCGCTCGCCCATCCTTCCTGCCCGCCGCCCGCCCCGGCGCCTCCACGCAGCCGCCGCCGCCAGCTCGCCGCCCGGTGCCGGAGCGCGGGGCCACCCGGATCCCTCCGACTCTCGCCCCCGCGCTCCTCCGCGCCCTTCTCCTTCCCCGCGCGGGCGGCGGGGCTGGAGCGGGGCAGCCCCCCCACCCCCAACTCCGGGACGCGCTCGTCGAGAGGGCGGTGACTGCGGGGAGGGAGGGGCGCCGCCCGCTTCCCGGGGCCTGGAGCGCGCGTGGCCCGGGAGCCGCCGGCGCCGCGCGGGGACTCACAGTGCAGCGCGCCGCGCCCGGACTCGGCTGGCTCCGCTCGGCGCGCGGGCGGCCCAGAGGATGCTGGCGGGCTGCCCCGGTCTCGGCCCGCGCTCCCGCCCGGGAGGGCCCCGGGTGCGCCCCTAGCCGCGCCGCCGCCGCGGCCGCCGCCAGCGCGG